CATACAAATACTATAATTTTTTAAAATTCGTCCGCCATATTGGATCCGCCATTTTAAATTTTGAAAATCTGGCTTCGGATTCGTAATCAGCGATTACCAAAAACCTCTAAAGGTACATTTATCTGTGAAATTAATTTGATAGAGAAATGTATGTCGCAATGAGTTAAGCGTGGTCTACAATGAGAACTTAAGATATAAAATTTAAGCTTTAAGTCTTAAGTTGTAAGAAGTTGACCAATCACAGTCAATTATAAGAAAAATAATTGACTGTGTCTGATCAATTTCTTACGGCTTAGAGTTTAAAGCTTAAATTTTAAGGCTTAAGTTCTCATTCTAGACCATGCTTTAGAGGCTTTCTACAATAAGCAATAAGTTTTAAGTTGCAATAAAATTGACCAATTACAGTGGATTATTCTTCTAATAATCGACTATGATTGATCAATTTTGTTATAACTTAAGATTTATTGCTTATTGTAGAATGGGCTTTACGAAAAGCATATTAATTGTTTATCATGTGTAAACTTTCGTAGCGTGGTAAGTGTTGCCGCGTTCTGTGTACAAAAGTCATTATAGTAAAAAAGTAACGATACAAGTAACGATGAATTTCGTTACTCGTTACTAAAGAAAATGTAGCGCCGTTACTTTTTCGCTACTGATACAAAAAAGTAACGGCGTTACCAAATCGTTATAAAACAAAAGTAACGAAATAGTAACGTCGTTACAAGTAACGCGTTACTTCCCAACCCTGAAGATATTATATAGACTACAATAAATATAATATAAATATAATATCGTCAGACGTCTCTAAGATGTCTTTTAGACATTTATGATATATAGATAGAATTAACAACTTTCGTCGCAACTTACTACATAATGATATAAATGATACTCTGCGGAAAATTGTAAAGTTATAGCATAGCATAGATATTATAATGATTGAGTTATTGCACATACAATTTTTATTATTAATTTGTTATATAATTAATTTGTAGAAAAGAAAGCAAGGAAACATATTTAGTGCAATCATTATACTACTATATGTATATTTTGATTTAATAGGGTATGAACTCGGTTTCTCCAATATATTTGAAGATATAGCCGATATTACGAAAGAACTTTTTCGCACAACGTCTAAAATCGGGACATGAGTCTGATATTCCGACGTCTAAAGGACGTTTTTAAGACGTCTTATGCGTCGTCTATATTGACAGTAGGAATAGTAGTAAGAAATAAGCAGTAAGCAAATTGATCAATTCCTTTCTCACGTTTAAAAAATAATCGATTGTGATTGGTCTATTTACTTACTGCTTATTTCTTATTACTACTACTAATTACTACTACTCATATTGCCATTGTAGACGACGCATTAGTATTTACAACCTCGCTATAAGCTTTAAGCCTTAAACAACTGATCAACCATAGTCAATTATTTTCCTTACGTCTCAAGAATAATCGATTGTGATTAGTCAGTTAGTAGTTGCTTATGATTTAAAGCTTAAAGCGAGGTTGTAGACCGAAACTTATGTTCCTATTTTATATTTGAGTTTTTATGTAATTACCTAAAGTTAAGTTTAGTCATTGGATTATGTGTTATGTTCAAACGCGCATAGGAGATATGTTCATATTGAAACAAACTGTGCATATGTTATATATTTAAAGGAAGAAGGGGGAAAATATAATATATTTGCAAATAAAACTATTAAAAATTCAAATTTTATTTGCAGTTAGATTTACAGTTACGAATAATATATAATAATCGATGGCACCAATAATAGTTTCGGATATGTTTTTGTATGTGTCGATATTTTTTTGGCAATTTTTATTGTAATATCAATGGAATGAGTTATAGATTCTGGTACTACGTAAAGTATAAAGAATGTAATCCATATAAAATATGTTGCAATTATTCAGTTATTATGCACAATAAACAAAAATCACATGGACAGTAAAAAACGAAGTAATGAAATATAAGTACTATGCAGTATCAGAATTTTTACTAATTCCTAGAATTTGAGACATTTTATATGTTGGTTATCTTTAGAAATGCATTGGCAAAATGATCAAAAAATATTGGGACAAAATGTATATGTGCTACAATTTTACAGAAAAAGCGGAAAGATACATAAGATATATTTACTAGTGCATGCATAATATTAAAAAATCTTGTTTTTATTTGCAACTTTGATTAAACTTGTATTTAATTTACAATAACAGATACAAAACTCGAAAGATATTAATAGTTCTAAGTTTTTAATTTTATACTTTTTAATATACTTTGACAGTTTAAAACATAAAAATCGTAAAACATTCAATGAGTTACGTATATTGTTTAAAGGGTACAGCATAAGGATTATAATCTATATAAAATATATTGCAAATATTTTATCACTCATTACATAAAGGACACGGATGATCTACAATACTATACTATACTTAATTGAAAACTATGATAAAATAACTCCTGATCTTCAGCCTGTGATTGGTTGGGTTAAATAATTTAAAATCATAAATACATAATAAAATGCGCATTTCGGTAATACAATCCATTAATGATACGGTTTTTACATGGTCTATAACT